AAACCTCCAAGTCCCCAAGACTCCAGACCTCCAACTATTGATATATTTGTAAATGATGAACCTGGAGAACTAAAGGAACATATTGAATATGTGGAGATTAATGATGATATCGGAGTATTGGAGGATGATATAGTTTGTACAGATATCTCTGAAGATATTAAGATTGATGTAGAAGATGTTATAAACTGTGATGTAAAGCCAGGAGATAAACTAACAAAGAGTTCAGGTAGGCTCCCAAATGTAGGCTTTTATAGTCAATAATTGTTTATTTGATAATTATGGCAAATGTTTTTGAGCACCTTTCATTCAAAATATCTCTTGTGAAGAACTATCTGCGAAAAGTCTTAATAGAAAAGTGCCTGATTCCAGTTTATTTATTGTAACCAAGAACCTTATTGTTCTAATAAGTGCATCTTTATTTTAGAAACCCCTGTTGAAAAAATAGATGAAAACACATTAAGCAAGAAACTTGGTCTTACTGTCAAGAGAGTTAGGTCTAAAGATCCCTACTCATGTCCTTTATGTAAATTCCAAACCACCTCTAAACTTAAATTGAGCAAGCACAAAGCTAGTGAACATAAAAGGATTTTACCACAATGTGCTCAATGCGGATATTCAGCTCAGAATTTAAAGGAGTTGAGAAAACATGTTAGAGATAATCCTGCCTGTACAATAAATCCAGTTAAAGAACAGAAAGGTAAAAATAATATAATTCAATTCTAGTTTTAAATCCTTTTTTGCCTAAATATGAATTTAATAAAAATTAAGTATTTGCTTTGGGAGTTATTTTTAGAAAATATGTTATTTCTATTTTATAGAGATCCTATTTAGTCAAAATAGTAAAAATTGATAAAAAGTGAACCCCTGGTAAAAATAATGTCTGTCGGGCAATTTGTACATTAGAATTTTTGTTGACTTGGCTTAGTATATTTCTTATTGTAATTAGTCATTAAGAGGTCTAATAAAACAGAAGGCACGACGGTGATGAGACGTAATAATTGGGAATGAATCCTACACCTCTTTAAGCCTTTAATATATCTTAACATTACTTCTCCTGTACGATTTACTTCTGATCTAAAAAACGTAGCCCAACATTACCGTAAAGGTAAAGTTAAAGAGTTAAAAAAACACAATTATGGTTTATACCATATCAAATTTCTAAGTCAACCCTGAAAAATAAAATTTTTAGTAAATAATATTCATTTTTAGATTGTATTTTATCCCGCAAATCTTTTTTTGTGTTTTTCATTCAAAAAGTGGTGTTTAAAGTATAATAAAAATTTTAATTAGTCAAATAATTTGATAACATTTTCAACATGTTTGATCTTATCTTTTCAAAACTATTTTCTTTGAATTTCTTGTGTTTTATAGCTGTAAGATCCGTGAAGAAAAAAGGGAAACCAAAAGATCAAACAGAAGGTAATTAAAATCAAATATAAATGTATTGACAAATTGAATAACAGTTCCAATTGCGTTAAGAGATAATGGTTTCTTCGGCGATTTCGATATTTTCCCGTTCAGTAATTTTTCTGATTATGTATTAATTTATTTATTATGAAAAATCAAATCAGTTTTTCCTTTTCAAATTCTTCTATTAGGGTTTCAGTAAGCTTCGCGCCCACATTGAACTTTTCTTAATTGTCCTTTTTATCAGTTTTTATTTAGTTACTTCAAAAAAAAAATTGGCTTGATCAGTTCAGCCGTTTTGACGTTTATTGAATAGAAATGAACAGACAGTAAGACAAACGAAGCATAAATATATAGAGATTTTAAATTTAAGAACAATCTTGGTTTTTGCTTTTTTCTGTTTTTGATTTTGTTTTGTCCTTTAATTTTTTACAGTGAAAACACTGACATAACGCTCATTTATAAACTTGTATTTAGAAATCATTTTAATTTAAGATTTACTTGCTTTTTTATGTCAGATTTAGCGAGTAAAGAGAATTCAAAATATCTGTGTGATCAGTGTGAATTTACTACAAGGCTACCAACATATCTGAAGCTTCATATGCAGGCTGCTCATGAAAATATTCGGTATCCCTGCCATCTCTGTGATTATAAGGCGACACGAAATTATATTTTAAAAGTTCACATAAACTCGGTGCACAATAGAATACTTTTTGATTGTGACCAATGTAAATATAAAGGTAGCTCATTACATGTGCTGACAGCCCACAAGAAACGAAGGCATAGTGAAAAACTTTTTCAATGTGATGCTTGTGAATTTGGATGTGCTGTGTCAAATGATTTAAAACGTCACAAAGAAAGTAAACACGAAGGTGTTACTTATCCCTGTACACAGTGTGATTATGTAGGTACCTGGCGCCATTGTTTGACAAGGCATATTAAAAAGTTTCATGAAAATCTTGTTTATCCCTGTAAACATTGTGATTACACTAGCACCTGTTTATCTACATTTAAAATTCATGTTGAAACTAAACATCTCGGTATAAGATATCACTGTGGTATTTGTGAATCCAATTTTGCCAGCAAGAGTGCAAGAGCTTCCCACAGAATGAAGAAGCATGGTGCAAAGAGATAATTATTATTTCAAATGCACTTTTTTCTTTACTTTCATTAGGCCAATCTTAGCCGCAGCTTATAACTTGCTGGACCAGCAGCTAATCTTTTGTCATTTTTTATGTCTAAAGCTAACTTATGTTATAAAATGTCCATAATTATTTATTAATAACAGAACAGATAAAGCTAGGAATATATTTCAGATTGAACAATATCAGAATGGATTTTGAGTTTAAGAGTTTAGATGCTGAAGTTTTGACTTCTAGGAGATTGGAGTTATATACTGAACTTCAGGTTTTAGAATTTTAACATGTATAAAAATAATCTTTGTTAATTAATATTTAGTTTTTAATATTTAGGATGCTGTGATTGATCAAGATGATAAACTAGTATTAAAACAAATACTGCTAGATGTACTTACTATTACACATGGAATGGAAGATAATCTTATTATTATGAAAGAACTCCATGAAGTTTCATCAAATGAAGTTGATGTCAAGAAGTTAGTGATGAACACAACTAGAGAACAGATTCTATCCATGTATAGAGTTTATAAGCTGGGAAAAACTTGGTTAATGAATTCGCTACTAGATATCAGTTTATTGCCTAAACCTCCTACACCAACTATAGATATATTTGTAACCCATGACTACAAGCCTCCAAGTCCCCAAGACTCCAGACCTCCAACAATTGATATATTTGTAAATGATGAACCTGGAGAACTAAAGAAACATATTGAATATGTGGAGATCAGTGATGATATCGGAGTATTGGAAGATGATGCAGTTTGTACAGATATCTCTGAAGATATTAAGATTGATGTAGAAGATGTTATAAACTATGATGTAAAGCCAGGAGATGAATTAACAAAGACTAAAATAGGTAGGCTCCCTAATGTTCCCGTTCGTAGTCCATTATGGTTAATTTCCAAAGTAAAAATCTTCATGTTGATGGCTTAACCATTGACAGCTTTTATGATTTCTGTACCGGGAAGGAAGGGGACATTGCCTTATTTGGAAAAAGTAAAATATAAATTCATTAAATTCAAATAAAGGCATTTTGAGATAAAACTTAATTTTCAATGATAAATGAAATAAAGATTCCCTGGGCTCTAGCTTATTGGACTCATTGTTTACACAATAGGTGTTAATTTCGAAAACTGAAACTTCACTTATTTATATTATTTCCATACTTTCACTACAGAAAATTTCGGAGATTTTAAATGTAAAAATTTAACATAATTTACTAAATTTACGATCTCCAGTTTTGTGGAGAACTAAGCTGATTATGTTTTACCAACCCCAAGTCTGCACTGAACGATCCCTGAACTCGAGTTTAGGCTTGACACGCAGCTCTGTCCCTTTAGTAAAAGTAAATTCAGCTTATATAAAGCATAAAGTCTGACCGCGTCAACCTTTTTGCACTGGCTAGTCCTGTCCTTAGAGCTAGGTACACTGTACAGTACAAACTGGGACCGGGAAGGTTGACCCGGCTTGGAAATTCAAATGTACTATGACTGCCCGTGTTGAGCTTTACCGGGGTTTACTCGGGTAAAAGCATTTAAAATCTCAGTACAGATTTAATTCTGATTCATCATTATACCTCTTTCATTTTTCACGATCATTCCCTGTCTTCAAGCAAGCAATGACTTGTGTTAACCTCTCTGCATTGAGCTTATCCTTTCTTCTGCTGAACCGCATCTTTTTAAATTAATGGATTTTTATTTTGGCTGAGTGGTTCGTGGCCGCAAACCTCTCCCCACTCACCCGGTATCCGGTTCAGTACGACTTAAGTAGAAAGTTTCAAAAATGTTGTTAATTTACTGTAATTTGTGAAAATTATATTTTGTTTATTAATTCATTTGTTTTCAGTGTTTCCTCCTATAATATTTTTTTACATAAAAACTTTTTGCCCTTTTTGTGTTTTTTAGTTGTCAGATGCGCGAAGAAAAAAATGAAACCTAAAAACCTAACAGAAGGTAAAACAAAAGAAAAAAATAGAAGTTAAAGTTCTAATTACGTTCGTTAGTATATATTTTATTTCTTCGGCGTAATATCCAATTTTTGTAATTTTTTCTCATGGACAGATGTATTTTGAATAATTAATATCTGTTCCTTTTCTCAATTTATTTTATATCCGAAATTACAGAGCAATTTTTGTCTTTGACCTTTTTATTTATTCTTTTTTTAACTTGTTGCAGTTATAATACTTATGTATGCCGTCCTTTAAACTTTCTTTAAAAAATCTAGTAATTAGAAAAGATTTTACGTTAAAATTTAGTTTCATTTTACTTTAGACTCAGCGAGCGAGAATTCAAAATATCTGTGTGATCAGTGTGACTTTACTACCAGGCTACCAACATATCTGAAGCTTCATATGCAGAAAATTCATGAAAATGTTCGGTATCCCTGCCATCTCTGTGATTATAAGGCGACACGAAACTTTTATTTGAAAACCCACATAAACTCTATGCATAATGGAATACTTTTTGAATGTGACCAGTGTGAATATAAAGGAAACTCGTTGCATGTTCTAAAAGCCCACAAAAAACGAATGCATGATGTGAAACTTTTTCAATGTGATGCTTGTGAATTTGGATGTTCTGTTTTAATTGAACTAAAACGTCACAAAGAAAGTAGGCACGAAGGTGTAACTTTTCCCTGTACACAGTGTGATTATGTAGGTGCCTGGCGTCAATGTTTGAATAAGCATATTAAAAAGTTTCATGAAAATCTTGTTTATCCCTGTAAACATTGTGATTACACTAGCACCTGTATATCTACATTTAAAATTCATGTTGAAACTAAGCATCTCGGTATAAGATATCACTGTGGTATCTGTGAATCCAATTTTGCAAGCAAGAGTGCAAGAGCATCCCACAGAATGAAGAAGCATAGTGCAAAGAGATAATTTATATTTCAAAAGCATTGATTTTGAAAAAAAAAATTTGTTTTTCTTTACGCTAAGACAATAATCAATTGAAGTAAGTCACAGCAGAAAGTGTTTAATATCTGATAGTTTTTTGATCATTTGTTTTTTGGGTATTAAGCAATTATCTAGTAATACAACAGTTTTTGTTTTTTATTTATAGATAATTTTAATGGTTGAAAATATAGTTGTAATTCATGAAAAGATAAAATAAAGCTGGAGATATCATTTTAAGCATTATCCAAATGTTAAATACTAAAGTTGCTTTGAATTACTTAAAATATTTCAGATTGAACTATATCAGAATGGATTTTGAGTTTGAGAGTATAGATGCTGAAGTTTTGGCCTCTAGGAGATTGGAGTTATATACTGAACTTCAGGTTTTAGAATTTTAACATGTATAAAAATAATCTTTGTTAATTAATATTTAGTTTTCAATATTTAGGATGCTGTGATTGATCAAGATGATAAACTAGTATTAAAACAAATACTGCTAGATGTACTTACTATTACACATGGAATGGAAGATAATCTTATTATTATGAAAGAACTCCATGAAGTTTCATCAAATGAAGTTGATGTCAAGAAGTTAGTGATGAACACAACTAGAGAACAGATTCTATCCATGTATAGAGTTTATAAGCTGGGAAAAACTTGGTTAATGAATTCGCTACTAGATATCAGTTTATTGCCTAGACCTCCTACACCAACTATAGATATATTTGTTACTCATGACTACAAACCTCCAAGTCCCCAAGACTCCAGACCTCCAACTATTGATGTATTTGTAAATGATGAACCTGGAGAACTAAAGGAACATATTGAATATGTGGAGATCAGTGAGAATATCGAAGAAATAGATGATGATAAAGTTTGTACACTGAACACACATTAGTTTATAAAGATCCTCAGATCTTACAGATTCTCAAATATGAGAAATACTTTTACTTAATTTACTGTTTACATACACAGAATTGTGCGCAAATGCCGCGGAAAATTTGCTGCGTAGAGTCTACTACAATTATTTAACGTTTACCCAGAAATAACGCCACAGAGGAATACAACCTTGTTAAAGATTGTTTGCCAAAACCTGAAAATGGATAAGCTCCAAGCTTTGGATAAACTTCATTGTTTTAATAATATTCTTAGGATATCTTTCAAAAATGGACTGGCCAGTAAGTCCACAAGATGAATATTGATTTTTTTTTAAAAAATTAGCACACTGACAGAAGTTTTATTGCAAAGAGGTGTGTTGGTGATTTGCTACCTTTTGACTGGTAGCTTTGCAACGTATATATGGTTTGTCTTAAGATCCTAGATACAGATTTTTGTAGTGATATCCATATTTTTCATTTCTGTTGTAATCCTATCTGGCTCTATATCCAAATATACTCTAAGCCTTTTCTGAAGTTTCAAACGTAACAATGGATCTTTTAAAATGGGGTAAGTTTCAATTTAAGAAAACCATGTTTTTTTTTTATTTCAGAATATCTGTGTGATCAGTGTGAATTTACTACCAGGCTACCAACATATCTGAAGCTTCATATGCAGGCTGCTCATGAAAATATTCGGTATCCCTGCCATCTCTGTGATTATAAGGCGACACGAAAATTCTGTTTGAAAGCACACATAAACTCTGTGCATAATGGAATTTTTTTCAAATGTGATCAGTGTGAATATAAAGCACAATATAAATTTACTCTCATAGACCACAAAAAACGAATGCATGAGGATGATAAACTCTTTCAATGTGATGCTTGTGAATTTCGTTGTACTATTTTAAAGGAATTAAGAAATCACAAACAAAGTAAGCACGAAGGTGTTACTTATCCCTGTACACAGTGTGATTATGTAGCACCCTGGCGTCAAGGTTTGACAAGACATATTAAAAAGTTCCATGAAAATCTTGTTTATCCCTGTAAGCATTGTGATTACACTAGCACCTGTATATCTACATTCAAAATACATGTTGAAACTAAGCATCTTGGTATAAGATATCACTGTGGTATTTGTGAATCCAATTTTGCCAGCAAGAGTGCAAGAGCTTCCCACAGAATGAAGAAGCATGGTGCAAAGAGATAATTACTATTTCAAATACATTTGCCATTTTCTCTTAACATTCAACAGGTCATAAGTATTCTCAAGCCCCAGCTCGTATCCTTGGTTATTTAGCATATTCAAAAAAATATCTATATTTTTTTTTAAATTGCCTTTTATTTTTTTACGGTAATTTAAGAAGTACAAATTAATAAAAGAAAATTTAAATGTTTCAGATTGAACAATATCAGAATGGATTTTGAGTTTGAGAGTA